TTGGTAGGTGATGTCTTAATTTTGCCTCTCCTCCCATGATAGTGATCTGTAGTAGAACTTAGAGTAGGACAATGGAACCTATAATTTTCCAGAAGTTGGACTCAACTCCTATGAACCCCAGGCAGCATGGCCAATGACTTTGATGATGACTGTTTGGATGCATCCTGTCTTAGGACTTTATCACATGAGTCCCATTCTTGCTGCAATGATGCAAATAAATTAAAATGCAAACATGCCAGTTTCATGAGCACCCATTATTGCACATCTTTGCAGTTGTGCGGTTGAGGCTGTTGCCACTATTGCACTCTCTTTCACACTCCCTCTAACTCCACTCCTTTCCCTGTACCCTACCCAGCATGCTTGTTGTTTTGGTTTTTAACACAATTCCACAGTTGGAGTAATACCACTTGTTTTTTAAAAAAGAAGAAAATAAATTGTTAGAAAGGTGAATCAGGCTGCCTTGGAATAGTGGGTGAAGGAGGGACAGGGGGAGAAGAAGAGACTGTAATACCACATGACTAACAATCTTGCAACTGCTGCAGCAGCAATGTTTCACACTTGTGGAGTCCTCGGAATAGTGCATGATTGAGAGCTATTGATGGGTTCCCCCTGGTCAAAGAAAAAGAATGCCCTAACTATACAACAGCAATAAATCAGAGACATTGTCATGTGAAAAGTACCACCAAAGGTGCTATTTGATAACTATACTAGCAATCTGAAAGCCATGTGTTGTAATCAAGCTGAACAGCTTCTCAGGATCTTTGCACATTCATGTGAAAAAGAAAGGTGGCCTTGCAACATATATGTGCACAGGAATCCCTGAAAGCATGAGGAGAACCAGTCCTAAGGGTTGGATGTGTAATATGCTTGCAGCCCTGGGCTGTACAAAAAACCAAATCTTTCAGTGTAAGAGGAACCCTACAAATGCTAGCTTTTGGAGCAAAACACCTGCAGAAAAGCAAAATCCAGCCAACATGGGAGAAAAGTGTTCTGGTGTAAAAGAGTGACTGTATGTAGCTACCATGGGATCAGCAGGGCATTGCCCTAGGCTTCCAACCAATGGGTGCTTACTCCCAGTGGCATCACTAGGGAATGGTGTCACCCAACTTGTAACTCTCCCACATGGACCTTCTGAATTGGTGGTGCAGATGAGAAGAAAGGTCTCCTCCCAGGAAACCCAGCATCTTGCCTCCACTGTCTCCCACTGCCAAAACA